AAGCTCCAAAGACAAATCACATGAATCAGTGTGAAGAAGTTAAGCTACCAAGAGGACATGCTACAAGCTACAACCAGGAGTTTTTACACGGAAATGATATCCAGTGTTAAACTGGAATGAAAAAAACTAGCATTTGCTTAAACACCTAAAGCATAAAGAAAGCTAGAGGAGTCATTATTACTCACATCAACTACCATGTTATCAATCTCACAGATGTCTATCTGCTCAACAGAAGAATGGCGGGACACCTCACGTAGAACACCACCGTCTCCTCCCCCAATAACCAAAACCTGAAGGCAGAAAATGCGGTTTAAGAGGTAAATTTAGGAGCACTTCATAAATGTATATGTGTACGTGAGGATACGTGCCATATTGACTCCTATGAAATTAGGATAGCCAGAAAAATTTACTTTATAATTTTAAGTAAACTTAGGCCTAAACAAGTCCAGTTTTGGCCAACATGTTTCTCCTGCTTTATGTTTTTTCTTCTCTTTTTTCTCCTTATACAAACGCATGTATATTAATCCAGCATCAGCTGAGAGGCTACAGAATTGTCATGCCACCCCTCTATTTCTGTGCAATATTATCCCACTATTTTTCTATACTCGTGCACATTTAAACATATAAATGAAAGAGATTAGTAAAGCAAAATAAGACCATGAAATAGATGATTCTGTCAGGTTCACCATGGCGAAACCAAGAGAATCATATGTCATCAACTAGTAATTACTGAACTACATTATTGTTTCACTCTATAGATGCACCAAATGTTAACTAGTCCATTTTGTTATCAATTACCCCCCAAAATCTCCTCCTAGTTCACCATTCAACTACCCACATGCTTAGTTTTTGAATTAAGCACGGCGCTATTATCACAATAAACTAGCATGAAGTATTTGTCACTAAGAATTGCACAGAGTTCTACACTCCTATATCTATTCAGTGGGTGTAAAGACCTTCTTCGGGTTTGGAATGGAGCAGAGTGGGAGATGAGTAATCATTTCCTGATAAGAGCATTCATCCCTCTCCGTAAGTTGAATTACCCCATCCAAAACAAGAACTTTCCCATATGTCGAAGACTGCATCAAAAAACAACCACCAAAGCATATTAAGCAACATTACAAATTAACATGGGTGAATAAAAATCAGACTTCGTAATGCCCGGAATATTACATACCTGAAAGACCAGGACCTTTTGATAGTCAGAATTTCCCTGGAATAAGATCTTTTCAACCTTTAATGAATGTGCTTCTCCTGCAGAATTCCAAGAAGTCAGCAACAGATAAATGGCTTTCATATACAATCATATCACAAAGAAGAAAAACTTGGTTTGTAAAGCACCAAATCAAAGTAAAAAAGAAGGAAATTGAATCAAATATCACAAGAAACTAATTAATGATTAACTCCATCACTACCACAAGCAACACATAAGAAATACTTAGTTTAGAACTTGTGGGGGGGGGGGGGGGGTCCTAAACTAGGCTGTAAAAAATGGCAATAAGCCTGAAGAGTGTAAAACCAAAGTACACTACTACAGTGCATGGACAAATCAGAACTTGTGAGTTGTGACTTGCATTCCAGATGTGTGATGAGTATGGGTTTGAAATTTCCCAACACAACTACTGCAGGACATTGACCATAGAGGAGAGCTAAATAGTAAAAAATTGAACAGAATTATATAGTAAAAGTTTTGAACTTCGGATTCATCTTGTCCCCCACATTCAATCAGCAGCAACAGAGCTATAATTTGTAGAACTGGGGTTCAAACACTTAAAATAACTACTTAAAAAAGACTCTTCAAATCCCTAAACACAGCATAACATGACAGAAGAATCAAGACACCTAGTAAAATCTCTACATACATAAACAAACCCATCATTCCAAGTTGAATTAGAAACAAAATAATGCACATAAATCATCCTCTTTTCACAAAAAAATTAATAATAAAAATGGCAGATTGTAGTGAAAACTAATCTAGGTATATTGAATTGCAATCGGAAAATCATCAAAAACAAACAAAACCCACAACAATTTTGTACATATAGATATAAGCTGATATGTTCACGAGGAGGGGACACCCACCAGGCCACATTGGGCTAATCTCAGAGAACCACCCAGGTATAATAGAGGATATATTGTTGTTACAACCCTCCATCTCCACAGAAACCCCGTTGTTCTCTTCCTCCTCTCTTGCTTTCTTCACCTGCAAATCACTACCCACTAACGCCACACCACTCTCCTCCGCCATCAATGATAGACCCAGAAGCTAAAGAGTGTGTTTTAGGAGTAATGAAGAATGTCCACAAAAATCTCTCTCTTGATATACTAATTTATAGATAAATACAGGGGGATAGAATAGAGAAAAGGTTAGCATCAATGGGGTAAAACACACAATAATTGTCAGCGTACACACACACACACACACGAAGAGAATCTGCTGAGGAAAGACGCGTTTGTATGCAGGAGTCCACCCATATAGGGTTCGACTCCCTTTTTTGATAACTTATCACAGTTGTATATGAACTGTAATTATATAATTAGCGTGTAAACGAGTCCCGTAATATATATTTTTTAATTTATTTTATTTATATTTAATTTATTTATTAACCATATTGTGTTAAATTCATTAATTTATTAAACATATACTTAAAAAAGATTCAAATTCTTTAATTTTATTATATTGTGTTAACGATTCGTATCATATTTAAGAGTTGAATTTATTATTTTTTAAGGTAAAATTTTTTATTTTTTTATATTATTAAAAAATAAAATTTTAATAATTTAATATTTACACACCCAAAAATATCTGAAAAAGGAATATGACAATTATTGTTTATAACATGGTCGGTGACTCGTGGGACGCAAGTACAATATAAAACTGATAGGGCTTTCGAATCTCAATTATGGGTTGGGCCCACTTATAGTAACGAAACTTATTAATTTGGAAAGTGAATTATTTTTTATTATCAATTATTGTAAATAAATTAAATTAAAATTTATCTTCATAATTTTTTTAAATTAAAATAAAAAGTTTATTTCAATGTCTTTTCATGTGATTGGGCTTCTCTCAAATCTGTCAAATCACTTTTGAATGTCTACGCCTGCTAGGTTTTGGTGCTTTGGTCTTACTGGGCACATTTGAGTTGGCCCCTTTTTTGACTTTTTATTCTTTGATTTTTTGTTTTTTTTTTTTGAGAAGGGGTTCTTCAATCATTCAAAGGGTGACTAATTTAGCCAACGGCTGCCGACCGAAGACCACAATCAGTTATAAATTTAGATATTTTAAATTTTAATTTTAATAAATTATTCTAAGACTCGGCGAAATTGAGTGATGATAAAAATAAAATATAAATTTAAATATTTTGAATTTAAAACTTGAAAAAAAATTATTCCTCATGAATTCTGTATATTTGGAGTAACTTTGACCGGATCAATGAAAAAATTAATTGAAATGAACATAAATTAATTCAAAAATCTAGAGAATAATAACAAAAAAATAAAAAATAAAAAACAAAAGGTGGGTAATTTGTGGGACAGAGGTACAACTTGACAACCAGCAAATAAAAAAAGAAAAAGAAACAGAAAGAGGTACAAATACATGATTAGCTGTTGATAAATCATTAATTTTGCCTTTCAATGTTCGAAAGGGCTTTCCTAACGCCAAACGCCAAACGCCAAACGAACAATATGTATTCAATTTGCCTTTTTTTTTTTTGTTGATAATTGAGATTCGTTTAGATTGTAGAATTAAGTTAATCTGATTAATGTTCTATTCTTTATTTTATAATTTGAGCATAATTTAAGCAATATATGGTTCAACTCGTGTGACTCGACTTTTATAAATTTTGTTTGTGTATAAATATGACCAAATAACCCATATCAAAAGACAAACAACCTCAATTTATCCCTAAATAATTTTAGATTATAATGGGGTTGAATGTTTGTAAATTTTTGTGGAGTCGAGTTTGAGTAAGAATCTAAGTTCGATGATTATAAAATATAAGGGTTTAATTTTCAAAGAATTATGTTAAGATTGAACTTAATTTTTGGTCATATTTCAATTCGAACGATTACAAATTTATGTCGAATTGAGACTCAACAAAAAATTAAGCTCAGATCTCAAACTAATCTAGACAATTTAGTTGGAATGCTTGCAAATTTATGTGGAGCTGAGTTTGAACAAAAATTTAAGTTTGAAACTCGACCTAATCTCGACAAACTCCTCTCGTTAAATAAGATGGTAGAAAAGCGAGAACAACCATTAATTGATTGACTAATATATTCATGACAAGTTGAAAACTAACTAATAAAGGTTTCGTAAAATCTTCTAAGATAACAATGGTGAACAGATTGAGATTGGTCAAATGTATTTTCCGAAATAACATAATTTTTTTATTAAAAGCTACCTAAAAATACGCCGTTGACTTGAGTTCAACCAAAGGTGTAAGCAAAACTCCCTAATACAAGTTAATTGAACAAACATTCAATGAATGAAATCAAATTCCCAACCAATGAAATATATGTGATAGGACAGAGAAAAAGGGCAGAGAAGGCTAAAGGTTAGAACAAAGTAGTCCCCCCCCTCTCCCCCCCTTTTGTTCTATTCTTTGCTGCAAAAATTTGTGGACTAGGGAGAGAGAAAAGCTCCAAGGGTCCTAGATTCTAGTTGTTGGAGAGTCAAAAAGGATGAAAACATTTGGCATCCAATCATAAGAAGTAGTTCTTTTTCGACGCGACTTGAAGAATCAGATGCCTTGCAGATTTTTGTTTTCCTAAAAGAATATTTTTTTTTTCCAAAAAAACAAACACTCACTGTTCTAATTTTTATTTACATGGGACATAATCGTTAATAAGTCTGTGTTGATTCTTGGGCCGAGTTTTTTGTTCTTTGATCAATTGAGCCGAACCATATCACCCTGTTAAAAAAAATGCAATTTATGATTAATAAATAAATAAGATATGAATGAAACTAATTAATAGATAATATGACACGACTCGTTTATATATATTGATTATACATGATTCGTTTAATTTAGATTAAATCTACCTTCATGGGCTAAATAGGAAATCAACAAGAGAATGAAATGTTTTTTGACCTAAGCTTTTTACAATTCAACACCAACTGTCTCAAGCGACACGATTGAGAAATGGGCTGGACTGGGTTTAGACGTGTAAAGATAATCAAAAGATGGGCTTAATAAAAAGGGCTGAGTTTTCTGATTAAAAGGCCCTTAAAAACAAAGATGGGCTTTTTTTTCCCTTGTAACTAAGCCCCTACCCGTGTTCTCATAGCTGCAACAACTGTCCTTTTCCTTTACATTCTCGGATGTAGAAACTCCCTCTCCTACTATATTTTGTGTGCATGAGAGACCTTTTCCTTTACGTTCTCGGATATAGAAACCCTCTCTCCTACTATATATTGTGTGCATGAGAGAGAGAGAGAGCATATTGACAACTTCAAACAAACAGAATGGTGAGCACTCTGAATTGTGACTTTAACAATTTATTTGGCTGCAGAGATTTTCCACCAGAGTGTGTGTATGAGAGAGAGAGAGAGAGTACATGAGTTATACACTTTTACGTTTAATTTTTTTTTTTTTTTAATCTTTTCTGCTTTGTCTCGACGGTAGTGATGCCAAAAAAATACAGACAGCCACGAGACAAGGTTGGAATTTTAATTAGAGACTAATTTTGATGTTAAGTTACTTGTAATTTTTTTATTTTGTGTGTGTGTGTGTGTGTGAGAGAGAGAGAGAGAGAGTAGACTAGTTTTGCAATGATTATATATTAGTTAAAAGATTGTATCATGTTTATTGCAGGCCCTTCTTGCTGATACTTTCTTCTCAGATTTCGACGAGTTATTAGACAATGAAGCCGATATTTTTGTGAGCATATTGTTTTTTTTTGTCTTTGTTGTATTAATTTTATGTATTAGTTTTTCCCTTTTGAAAATATGATTGTTGTATAATTAGTTTTTTTTTTCATTGCTAGTTTCTGTTTCCTTTCAGGATGAACATAACTTTGATGTAGACAACATGGAAGAAGATGATGAAGAGATGATGGGGATGGTATTTGAGTTTATGGGGATCGAAATCGAAGATCATCATATACATTTAAATAGATGTTATAGATTTATTATGGGAGTTTTTAGGAGATTATTTAGTATTTATTTTTCTGATTATTTTTTTTAATTTTTAAGAATTTATTTGTTATTTTGATTATATATTTGATTTAGGGTTTTGTAGAGATAAGGTGTTTGTTTGAGATAGAGCTTGAAATCGCGTTGGAATTAAATAGATATTATAAATTTATTATAAGAGTTTATCGTGCAAATTCCAGTTGGTCTTCAAACAAGACATGATCTTTATTTTGTTTATTTTTTTTAATTAAAGCAATGAAAATTAATTTTTAGATTATTGACAAATTCCTTTTTTTTCTTTAAAAGTTAGGATAAAGAAGAATGTCCAAAGACCATTTTGGATAAATTTTCATTATGAAATCATGAAGTCCTTATGCAAACTTAATTAAATTAGTATATTAAAAGTTCAGTCATTACTGTACTGAATCCAGTCGGTGGTATTATTGACAAATCCCTATCAACTAGGCTCGCCTATTCAACTGGTCACCTGTGACCTTAAATGGGCCAACATGACGAGCCAAGATGGGTTAAAGTTGGCCCACAGAACTACTTAACAGAAGGTCATCCCACGTGTTCTGACTGGCCCATGAGGCAATGGGTGCACGGGCTTTAATGCAACAGCAAATGGACCTCCGGGATTTTAGGCCATAACCAATGGGCTTTCAGGCTTTAAGGCCTACGACAAAAGTAAATATTCAATGTAATGATTAATCATATAGGACTAATAAACCCCACTAATCTCACATAATATTTTGAAAAATTTGGAGGTCAATCTCTCTATATAGACTTAAGTCCGTCAAGGAAATTTATTTGTTATGAAGTCTGTTTTTGGTCAATTTTACCATACTATCCATTCCCTTTAGAAATGAAATAAAACTAAAAATTAAAAACTCCTAAATCTTAGGAATTTGACTAACATTAAATTTTTTATTCTCTTGTATCTATCTATATCCATTTATAGACTAAGAGTTTGACTAACATTAATTTTTTTTCTCTCTCATACCTATCTATATCCATATATAAGATAGGTATACATTTATATATAGTAACATTAAAAATAAAAAATAGTAACATTCAAATACAAACATTTAAACAAAAAAAAATTGAAACATTCAATATTAATATTTTTCAAAAATAACAATAGCAGTATGTTTAACAAAAATAGTAACATGCTTAACAAAAACTGTAACATACTTAACAATAATTATTTATCTTAAATTTAAACGCAAAAAATAGTACCATTCAAACACAAAAAATAGTAATATTCAAAAATAAAAAAAATAGTAACATTGAATATTAATATTTAGGAAATAGTAGTAACATGTTCAACAAAAAACAGTAAG